ACTTAACACTGCCTCTTGTTAATTTGATGTTGTCAGAAGATGAAAGCAATGAATCAATGTAGTCAGTTTTAAAACAGACAACAACATGTGTTTCAATCTAATCATCCTAATTCTATGGTAAATCATAGAAAGAGAGAAAAGAGGGAGCATTGCCTCAGCTTTAAGATTATCTTTATCAAAATAGAGAGCTGGATTCTATAACAGCAGCCAAAGCTGTGATGATAACACATAGGTGGTTGTGTTGAACCAAATGGATTATGACATGCAATCTATCATCTATAATAATTTACGGGCAATTCCCAAGTCATTGGAGGTAATATTGAGTGTATATATTAACCATGCTTTTGTGTCTCCTTTCCATTAGCTGCCTTTTACTATTTTGGTGGTCCTTTCATTATACAACCCCTCCCACTAGACATTAGAGCAGGAAATAGTGGAGATGAAACACAAAGAGAACTTGTTAACAACTCAGAAGGGCGTGGTTGAGTATAACTGATACTGCTGGCTAAAATTAGACTTGGGGTGGCATTGTTTGATTCCAATTCATAGTAGCATTTCTGCCTCTAATTGTCAAGGATAATTGAGAATGGGCTGTATTTGCTTTAGATAAATCTGACCTAAGACCCTGGCAATGATATTCAAGGATTTGTTTGTGTGTGATGATCAAATTGCGAGTAGAAATTTAAATAGTTTTAAAGTATGTGTAAACAAGTAAGGCAGCCAGAAATTTCAAACAATTCTGGGAAGAACATTCTGCAGTCTGAAAAACATTTGGCTTAGAAAAATAGACATCTCAGATAAAGAAAGGGCATTATTGGATGTCATGGATCACGGTCGTCTTCTGTATGAAATCAAGCAAGATAACTATTTTTAAAACTGTGCCAAGTTCAGGCAAATGAATGGTCTATATAACAATACGAGACTCTAGAGATGGGCTGTTTGTTATCACTACTCCAATGTCAGGGGTGGCACAGACATCTATACTAAGAGGATTCCACTTATTACCCTTACAACTTGATAGTGTTATATTTTGGATTAGTAACATTCCTTGCAGTTGATTTAACTATTAACTTTGTCAGTTAGCAGTTAGTTCTACATTATATTTTTTGGGCAGAAGAAACTCAGAAAAAACGATTACAGGCCCCAGATCATGCTTATCACCTAAGAGGCCAATGTTATGAATAAAAGTGCTTGAATTGTAGCCCTTGATTTAACGTTGTGCGTACAAATACGACTTCTGCAAAGGAAATCATTACTGTTAGTTCTTTGTTAAAGTTTTATCTCAAGATTCCATTTATAACTGGATAACACTGAATTAGGATTAACAGCAAATGCCTTCTTTTAGAGGAGGATTTCTGAATCACAATCCCTAGCTACAGAATTCTCTCATAAAAATATAAGCTACGTTTCTTTAATTGTACTACATTGTATTACCTGTGGAATTAGAGCATGCCTTTGATGCTCGTAGATCAATATCTCCCTGTAATCACTAATTTCTGAAATCCAGTCATATTCTTGTGCTTGAAACCCGTTGATCTGTAAGCTTTCTGGAAGCACACAGATACTTCAGTTTTGTCTTGCAAAGAAGCGGCTGAGTTGAAAAGCTTTTATTCCCTGTTTTTAAGAGCTGTATTTAAAACCCGAGTCCCAGTAGATGACAAGAGAATGGTTTTTATAAGGGCATTTCTACCAGTTATTTAACAGGCTGTCTTTGAACAACACTGTCATCTCCAGAATGTATGTAGTCCTTAATATCTTTCAGCACTATGTCTCCCCGAACAGAGGCAGTGCCGCTTACAAATGAGGCTGTGACAATGGCATTTACAAATGACAGTGCCAGTTACCGTACAAAGTGCTTTCCCAGGTCCTGCCATAGGCGCCTCACAGCAACCACAGTGAGGTAGGCATGAGTATTACACTGAAACCTGACATGGAACATTACACGATACTAAACATGTGCGCCATCCATGTATTTTCTTCTGGATTGTTCTATAATTCGAATACACGGTTGAATAAGTAAAAAGAGTATTCCTATCATGTAAAGCAAACCACATATGTAGAAGGAAAAATCATATTTTTGCGTGATGTCATAGATCCACCCTACAAAACAAAAGAGAATATATTCAGTGCCATGGAGTTGATAAAATAAAAGTCAAGAACATAAAACAGGTGTTTATTGCTACTATAAATATTTCTTTTTCTTTTTTTTTTTTTTTTTTTGAGACTGGAGTTTCACTCTTGTTACCCAGGCTGGAGTGCAATGGCGCGATCTCGGCTCACCGCGACCTCCGCCTCCTGGGTTCAGGCAATTCTCCTGCCTCAGCCTCCTGAGTAGCTGGGATTACAGGCACGCACCACCATGCCCAGCTGATTTTTCGTATTTTTAGTAGAGACGGGGTTTCACCATGTTGACCAGGATGGTCTCGATCTCTTGACCTCGTGATCCACCCGCCTCGGCCTCCCAAAGTGCTGGGATTACAGGCTTGAGCCACCGCGCCCGGCATATTGCTGCTATAAATATTTCTAAAAGAATTTATATGTCATTTCATACCAATAAAATTCTTCATTTATCCATTTCTTTTCATTTTTTTGTTTTCATTTAGCCATTTTTAAGGGTATGCTATATACCAGTGTTCCCCATCACCAGGGGAGGGCTGCATTCATTTTTTAAGCCACTTGGGCGCTTTGGAAGGCATTTGAAGCAATACCCAGCGGACTCATGGGGAGAACCTTCTGGTTCACTTGAAGGCATGCACAAGGCCAGCAATGAAAAGCGAATCCAATGATTTTCTTTTTTCACAAGTGCAAACATGAGTCTTTTCTAAAACCTACAAAAATGATTCTGAAGTTTTAGTGTGTATCAAAAGAGGCTGAGCAGAAGACATTTGAACTTTCAATACTTCTGAAATATTTGAGGGTAAACATCTGTTCTAGAAAGAATAAAAATCTTCAGGTGCTATAAAATTCACATTTACAATCATAAAACTTTAATATTTACATTTATAAAACCCTAAGTGGGCTGGGCGTGGTGGCTCACACCTGTAATCCAAGCACTTTGGAGGCCAAGGCAGGTGGATCACCTGAGGTCGGGAGTTCAAGACCAGCCTGACCAACGTGGTGAAACCCCGTCTTAAAAAGCAAACAAACAAACAAAAAAAACCCTAAGTGGCCCTAGATACTGTCATGGATACTGGCTAAATTATTCTATTTTCAAATAATAATTTAATATCATAATCTAACACCTTAATACAATAATTTTACTAGACATCCTGTAAAATACCACTATATTTCATGAATTCTAAGACACTGATGTGCCATATTTTACTTATCAGTAAGAAATAAATATCCTTGTCAATTCAAATATGACTCAATATTTCCTCAGGACTTTGTAAAAGGCATTCTAATTTTAGAGGTGTTAAAATATGAAAAAAAGGTCTCAGAATCTATGAAGTATGTTTCCTATACTTCAGTGATTAATTCTAACAATGGATCACATGTCATAGTTCCCACATAGCCAACTATGCAAACTGAGAGGACAGAGCTACACACAATAGTTTTAGTTATGATAAAAATACAAATTTTGAACTTTTTTTTTCTTTTTTGTAAGTACATTAATTAGGAAAGACTTAAAATATAAATGATTTAATGACTGGGCTCAGTGGCTCACACCTGTAATCCTAGCACTTTGGGAGACCAAGGTGGGCAGATCACGTGAAGCTGGGAGTTCGAGACCAATATGGCCAAGATGGTGAAATCCCTGTCTCTACTAAAAAATACAAAACTTGCTGGGTGCAGTGGCTCACATCTGTTATTCTGGCCCTTTGGGAGGCCAAGGTGGCTGGATCACCTGAGGTCAGGAGTTCGAGACCAACCTGGGTAACATGGTGAAATCTTGATTCTACTAAAAATACAAAAAATTAGCTGGGTGTGGTGGCACACACCTGTAATCCCAGCTACTTGGGAGGCTGAGGCAGAAGAATCACTTGAATCCTGGAGGCGGAGGTTGCAGTGAGCCGAGATCGCACCATTGCACTCCAGCCTGGGCAACAAGAGCGAAACCCCGTCTCAAAACAAACAAAAGCAAACAAAACAACAACAAAAATATTCCAAAAATTAGCTGGGCATGGTGGTACATTCCAGCTACCCAGGAGGCTGAGGCATGAGAATTGCTTGAACCCAGGAGGCAGAGCTTGCAGTGAGCTGAGATGGTGCCACTGTATTCCAGCCTGGGCAACAGAGCAAGACTCTGTCTCAAAAAATAAAATAAATAATAAGATTTTATGACCAAATATAGTATTTCATGTCCACTTTTCAGAAACATCTTTTAAAAAATCTACTTGGCAAATGAATGCCTAAATCCAACTTAAATATCTCCCATCAAGAAATAGCCACACAAAAGCAACCGAGAAAGGTGTAAACTAGTCCTTCGGACTTCCTGGTTGTTTTCTGTATCTCTTTGTTTCTTCTATCTAGTGCAAGATGTATGTGCCTGGATTACTTATTTACAGGGATCAGTCAAGGCATTCATAAAGAAAAACAAACAATAGCTTACAAATTTATAATCTTTTTTTTTTAAAAACAACAAGTTAAAAGGTATGAATTCTGGATAAACTTTAAAAGTAAACCAAGGTTTTGAATTTGTGATTTGATGTAAAAAAAAGAAAAGAAAAAATCTGACTCTTTAGAAGTGGCTGAGTAAAATGCTTTATCTTTCTTAATCTGTAAATGGAGACCAGGGGAACAAAAAGATTAAACATAATCCAAAAGTAACGCTTCAGCTTCCAAACTAAATCAGAAAGGCACGCTGTCACTGACATATGAACCAAAACACACCCAACTTCTACTCAGTGTTACCAGTTGGCGACTGTGGGCAATTGTGAATTAGGACAGTATGAACAATTTACTTGCGGATAATGCAGAGTGGTCTGTATCTACAGTACATGACGGGACTAACTGTCATCTACAATTTTCTTTCTTTCTTTTTTTTTTTAAATTTTCAGTCTCCATAGCGACTGTCGAAAATTGCCAATGCCAACTGTATTTCAAGTCATTCATCATAGCGGGGTATCGAGAAAAGTTTTCAGTTAGCAATAATCGTGCCTCAGATAAACCTCATTGGCTACGATACTGCCACTGTGCAAAGCTGTCATCTACAATTAAAAAAAAGAAAATACAAATGAGGTTCTCATATTCCACTCATCTCATATGAAAGCTGACTAGGTCATTTTATTTATTTACTTAGAGATGGAGTCTCACTCTTGTCGCCCAGGCTGGAGTGCAGTGGTATAATCTTGGCTCACTGCAACCTTTGCCTCCAGGTTGAAGCAATTCTCCTGCCTCAGCCTCCCGAGTAGCTGGGACTGCAGGTGTGTGCCACCACGCCCAGCTAATTTTGTATTTTTAGTAGGGACGGGGTTTCACCATATTGGCCAGGCTGGTCTCGAACTCCTGACCTTGTGATCCACCCGCCTGGGCCTCCCAAAGTGCTGGGATTACAAGCATGAGCCACCGCACCCTGCCGATCAAGTCATTTTAATGGCTAAATCCTCCTTTTTCCACATGATCAAGTGATTGAGGGCAAAAATGATGACTGTAAGTAACAAATACCAATGGCTGAAACAAGTCGATCTATTATTGCTGCTTAACATGAACCCCGGAAATAGGACACAATCCTTCTGACTGGAAAGTTAAGCTGTATTTTGTTTAGACTATTTATTTACTTTTTGTTAGAAGTGGTTGATTATAAGCTCCAGGCTCTGTGATGTAGCCTCTGCCTACCTTTCTCCCCTGCTCACCACAAGCCATGCTGAATTTGTTAGCATTTCAAATACATTCCTCTTGGCTCCTTGTTTGAACATGTCCTGCTTCCCCTTCTAGGTGGGACAGTAATAAATATCATCACCCTTAGAGCAGCACCCTAGGATTCCCTTTCCCCCACCCCATCCTTCATCTTTATCTGCAGAATATAAAAACAAATGTCTGTTAAGTATATTACATAGTGCTACAGTCTTAAATTGAATTCGTTATTATTATGATTATTATTATTTTTTGAGGCAGAGTCTCACTCTGTCCCCCAGGCTGCAATATAGAGGTATGATCTCTGCTTACTGCAGCCTCCGCACCATCCCCCACCCCCCGCCCTTCCAGGTTCAAGCAATTCTCCTGCCTCAGCCTCCTGAGTAACTAGGATTACAGGCATGTGCCACCATGCCTGGCTAATTTTTGTATTTTTAGTAGAGATGGGGTTTTACCATGTTGGCCAGGCTGATCTCAAACTCCTGACCTCAGGTGATCCACCTGCCTCAGCCTCCCGAAGTGCTGGGATTACAGGCGTGAGTACACCGTGCCAAGCCAAATTCATTATTATTATTATTATTATTATTTTTGTAAATAACTGTCTTCTTTCCTCTAAAAATATAAGCCTTTGTAAGAGCATCTTCACCATGCCCAAGCTTCAAACGGAACTCATGCCAATTTTTTTAAAAGAGCACACTCAACTTCACTGAACAATTTAACATAGTACAAACTGTAGGAGTAGTCATAAATTTCATGTTATGTTAATCCCACAGGTTTTCTCCAATTTACCTTTAGGATTTACTTATAAGTAACTCTGGATCCTGCCATCTCCCTTTGGTGCCCGTTTTAATATTTCTGCTAGTTTGAATTCAAATCCAGTCGGATATAAAGCAGGTCAGGAGAGACTGGACTCTACCAGGAGCTCTGAGCTTCAGCACATGTTGACATAACTCCTTTGGAGAAAAGACAGTTCCCACAAGCTTCCCTCCTCATTCATCCTTCGCCACCCCTCCTAGAGGTCTGACCTCAGTTCTTGGATTTGGAACCCAAGATTCTTGGCAACCCTCATCCAAGCACCAATTCAAACCTACAGCTTCAAAGTAAAATCTGGTTCCCTATTAAAGTGCATTTTCTTTTCATTTGATTCTGTCAAATAATTAATAGCTGTTTTTCTTATTAATTAAATAAGAGACCCCAGCTTTTGGTGAAAAATATTGCAAATTCTTAAGGTGTTAGATTTTATGTGAATGGAAGAGATGTGTGTAGAATGTTGGTCAGCCAAATCTGATGGCCGAGTTTTTGCCGTATTATACACTGAAACATCTAAGAATGTATCTACTATTATCACATCATTTTATTTTATTTTATTTTTGAGATGGAGTCTCGCTTTTGTCACCCAGTCTAGAGTGCAGCAGTGTGATCTCAGCTCACTGCAACCTCTGCCTCCCGGGTTCAAGCGATTCTCCTGCCTCAGCTTCCCAAGTAGCTGGGATTATAGGGACCTAAGTTTTGTATTTGTGTAGAGATGAGAGTTCACCATGTTGGCCAGGCTATCTCAAACTCCTGACCTCCAGTGATCCACCCGCCTCAGCCTCTCCAAGTGCTGGGATTACAGGCACAAGCCACCACACCCAGGCTTTTATTACATCTTTAAAGGGGTTGAACAAAATGCCCAACAATATTATAAATAAATTAGATCAAGAAGTCCATGCTACTGAATGACACAGTTGAAATGTCTGTTCAATAGCTCTGATTCTTGAAAAGTTTTTTTTTAAAAAAAGGTAATGTGAACGGTAATTTTCTTTGCAGCAAACCCAGCTAAGTAATTTTTAGTGCACCTCAAATTTCTAGCAAGAGTTTAATGTGGTCATGTCCTCACTCATATCGCCAGTTACTCTGACCCTACAGTGTATGTAAATGCTGGCTTGCATCTCATTGCGATGTCAGCTCCTTGGCCTGGAAAGTCAATAAATTAAATAACATGCAGGTAGCCAGTGAATGCTGTTCACCACTCCTTAGTGCATGAATTCAATGGAAGATGAAGAAACCAACAAATGCAAAAAACGAAAGTCTCCTTTAGCTTGCTGGCCTAGACAAGCACATCAGAACGTTGATTCTGGGGTTTCCATAGCAGCATATGATACTCATCGTAGAAGACTCCCAACCATTAATACAACAATTTCCACCCTCCATGGTGGATCCCGTTGCTCTATAGAATCCACCTCCAGGGAGGAATCTTGAAGCAGTCAAGAGGTAAGATCTGATGACTGAGGGTTAGGTATCACGCCCTGCTCTACTTATCATTCCTTTCTCTTTCACTCAAAGGCGCTCAGTAGAATGCAGATGAGTGGATAGCACATGACCACAGCGATGGGATTAAGGAAACATCCTGGCAAACTCTGGTGCTTTGACTAACACTGATCATCAATTACTCATGCCATACCTCACAGTTGTGTTGTGATGCTTCCATTGAAATCTGACAGATTAATACAAAACAACCCTAGCCTGCCCATTAGAAGAAAGTACCCCTGGATCGTGCAAAGAACCATCAGTGACAGAGTCCATTTCTGCATATGATGTATCTGAAGGATCTCCAGCAAGAGGGTGGAGGAGCTGCTACTATGCCCCCATGCCTCTAATAGGAAAGTTTAACATCTCTAGCAGGCGCCATTGGTTGACTGATTCAACCACCAATCCCAATTCATTTCTCCTTTCCTTCCTCTAGTATAGAGACGAGAAAGCAAAACACTCCATTCACAGCTCCCCTTGAAGCTTGGACTAGCTGTGTGATGTAGTTCTGGCCAATCAGATGTTAAGTGGAATTCTGCTTGGACTGAGCCTTTCCCCACTTCCTTCTCCCTGTTAAATGATGATGCAGTGGGTGGAGATACAGCAACCATTGTGTCACCATGAGGCAGTTAGCATGAGGAAAGGGTCAAGAGGATCTCTGAGATATTGCCCCAGTATCATCCAGTCCCCAAACTCTGTATTTCTGGTTACGTGACAGAAATCTGTTTAAATTATCGTTGTCAGAACGTTATAACCAAATGCATTTTGACCTGATAGAGAATTTTACATGATGAAATCAGTGAGCGATTTTAGACTTTTCAACGGCCACTGTTTGCTCCACTGCTATAGTCATTGTCACCTAAAAATGCTGCATCTCATCTCTGTGCACAGGCAGAGAACAGGAGCAGCCTACTCCAGGAGGAGCCCTATATGCAGCTCTGGGGATTCCTAAAGTGACTCTTGGACCTTAAACCTTTAGTCAGCCAACTGCCAGTGTTGTCTGCTGTATAGGCAAAAATCTATGATTTCTTGGGGGGATTTAAAAGCATGTTTGTTGGCACAAGCTCTCTGCCAGTGGGGGTCTTAAGGGAGGAGGTGACTTTAGAATTTATAGAAAGACTGGGAAAAAAGGGGCAGGGAGGGCTTTGTCCTGTACCCATGGGATTGCTTCACCCACTGGGAAGAGCTATTCCTGCCAGAGGAGATGGGAATCAAGGGCCCAGAGGGCCCAGAGAGGAGGGTGTTGGCGGGGGTGGTTGGGGAGAGGGGACATCTCGACAGGTGAGGCTCCACTGGGTTAGATCAAAGCTCTGCAAAAAGCCTCTAGCAGCTCTGACAACCACCACCAGCCCTGGCTGGCTGATGGCCACCACCAGAGAGCCTCTTTGTGGTGGCAATCTGCCCCAGCCCCTGCGTGCCATCCAGACCCCTGTCTCCAGTTCTCGGACAGAAGATAGACCTTGTCATCTTTACCCAGTACCTGGTGTCTTGGGTCATGAGTCCACTTGCCCAACCCTGAATTGCCTTTCCATAAAGGCACCAGCCCAGACACAAGATTCCTTGGTGCCCATGGCTTCTGGTAGGCCAAATACCACATTCTCTGGTGAATTTGCCTCTTGCACGTGAAGTGAATACATGAGAGAGATCATATCCTAGGTGTTGCCAACTAGTGGCTTCTGGGCCTGTGGTAGGTAGAATGCTCTCACCCCCAGAAACGCCAAAGTCCTAATTTCTGGCCCCTGTGAATATGTGAGCTAATAGGGCAAAAGGGACATTGCAGGTGTGATTAGGTCAGGACCTGGGAGAGGGAGAGGATCCTGGATTTTCCAGATGAGCTCAATGTAATCATAGGCACCCTTACAAGTTAAAGGAGGTGGCAGGGAGTTTGAATCAGAGAGAGATGGGAAGATGTTACACTGCTGGTTGAGAAGACGAAGCCAGAGAGAGGGGAGCACCAAAGAATGAAACTGGCCTCTAGATGCTGGGAAAGACAAGGAAACAAATTCCCCGCTAGAGCCTTGAGAAGGAAGGCAGCTCTGCTGACCTCCGGAACAATAAGA